ATAAAAGGAACATGGATATATGTGATTTATCAATGAAGTAGTTGAGAACCCTGAGGTTTCAGGTTCAAAACTCGGTGGAGACAAAAAACACTAGGGTAATATTTTCATTTGTCTTAGTCTTGGTGGACAGAGCTACCTGTTACTTATTGTTGGTAGGAGGTGGCAACTGACAAGTATCTCGTGAAATTAATCGAAGTGGACCAAAGCTGACCCATACACCACAGTCATCAATTTTATTTTATTTTTATGAATGCAACATTTTATAATGTTTCGCTCCATGGAAATTGTGATATATAATTTTCATGTAAATGAAGAATACAGATTTTATGTTAGGATTTCATATTAAATATCCAAACAAGCTCGAAGACTGCGAAAACAACGTAACGCAAGAACGTACTTTTGTGGCTCTATTATTAGTCAAACATAAATGATTTCGTAATTAGATTAATTACTTTGATTAATTTTGCTTATGCTATAAGCAACAATCAAAATCATTGAATCTTAAACCTATTGACACTAAGATTTCATTTTTATGAAGAAATTTTTGAATCAAGCGTTTAACGTTTTCTTTTGTGGCAGAGAATTGGCCTCGTAGATCAACCCACCATAAAATCAAAGAATTTAACATATACTTTTTCTTCTAATTTATGTGATGTTATTTGACTGATATGATATTTCAGAAAAAAATTAAAAATTATAATTTAAAATAAGTCATAAATATTTATATAACTAAAAATCATTTTATTAAAAAATCTGATTTTTATATATACATATATAAGTATTAAATATAAAACTCATAAATACTTATATATATGCATATATATAAGTATAAACTTTAAAACTCAATTCTTTACTTTGGATTAGTTATCTTTACGATCCATAAAATTAAAATTCTGATTCACCTCTTTTAACCGCATATAATATAAATATCTTTTATATTACCATTATATAATAATTAAACTCGATTAAGATTGCTACAAACTATTGTGTAGGGAAGACTTGTGAAAAAGGAGGGTCTCTTACTTTCTTTTTATTTCATTATTAAAAAATATAATTTCAAAACTATTAAAAGATTTTAAATTTGAGTCATACTGAATATGAAGTCATCTTTATTAAGAAATATATTATTTCAATGTAAGACTTTTCTAGACGAATTTAAATTTAATTGAATCTAAATACAGATATCAAACATCGCATTAAAAACTAAAAGAAAATAATTCCAAAGTGAATAGATGTGTTGTGGTAGCTTGACATTGTTAGGCTAGTTGGAAAAAATATTGAGTCCCACAATTTAATTATTAATTATTAGATTAGAAAGAACATCATCACGCCTTATAGAAGGATAGGTCAAACCAAATTCAAGAAGAGATACAGATAAGTTTCAATCGGCTGATCTCTCCCTCCTATGTTCGTAAGTGTAAGCAATGTTTGGGCGATAATTAGTCAGGTAAAAACAGAGTCCCAACAAGAAAAAAAAAGTTTCAAAGGAAAATCTCCAGAAATTAAGAGTGTGTTTGGTACGGAGGAAAATATTTTTAATATTTCTTTTATGTTTGATCAGTTAAAATGTTTTTTAAAATATCTTCAAAATAAAGTATTTTTTTCAAATAAATTAAATAAAAAAAACCAATTTTTTCTGAGAAAAGAAGAAAAAACAAGTTTCATAAATGATAGCAAACTCATAATCCCCCTCCCCACCCCCAGTCTCCCCACCACCCCATTTACTAAGGGGGTCATCCAAACCCCTTTGGTGAAAATTATATTATTTATACATGGTTAAAATATTTTTTTTATGTATATGTTGATGTTGAATCCCCTTCGACTACTTCATGTGTCTATTTCTATAGATTTTGAACCTTCTTATTGAAAATTCTGGCTCTGTCACTGCGTACAAACACTAGAAAATAATTATTTCGAAGATAATATTTTTTTATGAAACGTCTTTTTTCTATCAACCAATAAACAAGTCTCAAAATTTAAGTACTATACCCTGTTAAATCAAAGAATGGTAGGGGCTGTTTTTTTCATACTTACTATATATATATAGACACATATATACAAAATTGGAAGGTAGGAAGTCACATTCAAATCTTAGTTTAGAAAATAAATTGAATGAAACAATAAGTAGATTTTGGCCCCCTCTCATTGGCACACAAATTAAAACTAGTTAAAAGGTAGATTTTCTGTCTATTTTGCAGGTGCATTTTATTAATGCAATTGATGTTAGTTCTTCATACTTGCATTGGTACAACTTTCATCCAAATATCTAGTAAAGAAAGAAATTAAAATTTTGAATTTATGAGTTTTGAATTCTAAAAATATATAGCTTTTAGATTTTCGATGAATTATTCATATGTATTACATAATTTTTTAAACACAAATAACACAAATCTACTAAGTTATGTTGAACTCGACCTTCGCCCAAAATTTTAAATTTTTACTACTTTATATTATTTTTTTCTTCTATTGTGAGGCTTTAGGGTATTTTGTATGAAGGAAAATATTTATTTTTTTTTGAAAAATAAGTGTACGTTAGTTTTTTTACTTAGGCGGGGATTAAGATATACAAGGCCGAGAGCGGAGTGAGAGTGTTGGAAAAGAAATAATGAACTTGCAATATTACTTACATAACTTTAGAGAAAGCTAGAGAGTAAGAAATATTAAAGTAATTCTAAGAGGCCATAAAATGCTTACTATCCATTAAGACATGTTTTCTAAAATGTCTAATATTATATTTTTGGAGCTCTTTAATACTACACATTATTTTCTTACCGATAACAATAATATAATCAATATAATTTTACAAGTAAAAAAGTCTGAAAAGAATAATGCAGATGTAATTTTACTTCTATCTTATGAAGGATCTAAATTACATTTCGTCCACGATAATTGTCAACTCCTGACTTTTTCCTCCAAAACAATAACAAATCAAAAGAAAAATAAATCTAGAAATAAATTTCACAAAAATAAAAAGTGATAAATCTCATTATAATAAAGAGTTAAAAAGAAAATGGTCCCCTCAAAATTACTTGTAAAACCTCAAATGATGAATATTTTGAAAGTTATAGCCAAAAAAATAGGGGGATAAAAAGAAGTGTAAATAATTACACTATTTAAATGATTGCATTATCACTACCATCTTCAATTATTTAGCTTTCAAGTAATATTACAAAACTTTATGTTAGAAATAAAGGAGCAGTTGTAGCAGTATATTTCATAAAGTACAACTTTAAGAACCACCTCACCCAAAATTCAAGTCTAATAAATACTCTATCCTGATTTTATGATTTATTTTATATCATATTAATTTTTTATTTTAAAAATTTGTATTAAATCAAAAGCATAATACATAAATATGCTTTTTAATTTGGTTTCAGTTGATATCTATATCCTCTAACTTGGAGTGTGCACAAACATACACTTAAACTTATACAAAATTGAACAATACATTCGTCCTGTGTAGCGTCCTACATGGAAATATTGTGTCCTATGTGACATCCTACATGTATTATGTCACATGGGGCATGTGTGTCTACTTGTTCAATTTTATACAAGTTTGAATGTCAGTTAAATCCAAGTAAAAATGGTTTATTTATGTATTAAGCCCATATCAAATAAACATCACATAAATTGAAATTGGTGTGCCATCATCAATATAGATAGTGGTGCGATGGTGAGACTGTTCTTCTCTCAATCAAAGCTTTCGTATTCAAATTATAGACATAAAAAGATCTTGTTGGAATCATTATCACGATGAAAGGCACAAAAATCAGAGAGTGCAGAAAGGGAAAAAAAAAGAAAAAAGAGAAAGTAATTAAGTCTACTGCTGTTTCGTTTTAAGCCATTGGCGGCATGATCACAATTATTTTTTTATAATCAAAACAGAAAATAAAGGAGGAGATTATAATGTGAAAAGTTTAATTATTGTTAATATGGTGAAAAAATTTATGTAGCTAAATAACTGAGTTATTACTTATTAGTGTACTCTACATCACAAATTTTAGGTACTTGGTTAAATTTATATGATGTATTTTAATTGAATATGAAATTTAATAAAGGGAAAAAGGATAAATATATCCCGAATTATCGTAAAAGATATGCAGATACCTTCTGTCATACTTTTGGGACATTGGTGCCTTCGCTGTCCAAAAATTAGAGCATATATACCCTTTATACTAACGGACATACATGCGTCATAATCTTATCCACCCACTCGACATTTATTAAAATCGGATCGACTGATAAAATTGTGCCACGTATCCCTATTTAGTCTTCCGTTAGTGTGAAGGACATATATGCTCTAGTTTTTAGATGGCAGGGGCACCAATGTTCCAAAAGTATGACGAAGGGAATCTGTATACCATTTACGATAGTTCGGGAGTATATTTGTCCTTTTTCCCTTTAATAAATATGAAAAGACTTTGTTAATATTTTAAAACCATCCTTAGAGAAAATATATTTTAGTAGAGTTTTTGCTAACCAACATAAATAAAATGTTGATAATGTCATTAAAGAAATCTATCGTCATTTTTAAAAATGATGAAAAAGAATAATGTGTTATATAAATTAAGACGAAGAAAATTCTAAATTATAAATGTTTTCTCCTCTTCAATTTCTCTCACTTTCATACACTTACATAGTTGAAAATTGAAATTCAACTTCTTCTTCTTTTTAAGGGAGAGTGAGTAAGAGAGAGAAAAAAAAAGACCACCCTTTCTTAGTTTTTTGTTCTTTCTTTTTTGCCAACCTACAAATCAAGAAAATCAAGGTTATCTTATAAAAAAAGCCAAAGCTTTTGTATTCTAAAGAAAGTATGGTTGCAAGGCTGAAACTTAAAGGGATCGATAAGAAGGCGTCATCAAAATTGAAGCTTGCGGCATAACAATACAATAAAGTTCCTCCAAATTTTTTTCTAAGAGCTCATTCTTGATTCTATGGAATCGTGTCTTATGTAGACATCCTTGTGATATGGGTTGTGTGTCTCAATTAAATATAGAAAAATGGCCGATTTTTTTTCACTAGGAGGAGGAGTAGGAAGAGAAGCAACAAGTAGTCAAGAATATCATCAACATCATCAAGAAACTACTAATAGTACTCACAATTGGTTCTTGTACAAACATCATGATCAAGAATTACCAACATACAAAGGTTTCGAACTATGGCAACAACAACAACAACAACCTCATCACAACGATGAGGAGCAAAATTACCAAATTCTTCGAAACCCCATTATTAATCCATTTGGATTAGATATTGGGCCTAGTAATGATCATCATCATCATCATCATGAGACTAATATGATGATGAGAAGTAATACTATTACAATAAGTTGTCAAGATTGTGGGAACCAAGCTAAGAAAGATTGTCAACATATGAGATGTAGGACTTGTTGTAAGAGTAGAGGTTTTCAATGTCAAACACATGTGAAAAGTACTTGGGTTCCAGCAGCTAAAAGAAGAGAAAGGCAACAACAACTTGCTTCTTTGCAACCACAACAACAAGAAGAAGATAATAACAAGTCCAAAAGACAAAAAGATGATTCAAATACCGGTAAAGTATTTATCTTTCTTAATTTTCTTCATTTTTTTTAATCGTTTTTCGTTGTTAATGGTGGAGCTAAAAATTTCATCAAAAAAATTCGAGAACGTTACACTTGGATTTCCCCTTATGTTGAGGAGAGATCCAAGATCTTATACTCATATATCTTAATTCATCATTTTCTTCAATCGTTCTTTCACAATAATGGTGGAGCTAAAAGTTTCGTCATTCTGACAAGAATATTTAAAAAGATTTGAGAACGTGACACTTGGATTTCCCTTATATTGAGGAGATTCAAGATTTTATATTCTCATTTTAATTTCTTATTTTCTTCAATATTCTTCACTATAGTGACGGAGCTAAAAGTTTCATCACAAATTCTGACAAGGGGACTCAAAAGATTTGAGATGTCACACTTGGGTTTGGATTTCCCTTATATTGAGGGGATCCAAGATTTTATACTCTCATCTTAATTTCTACTTTCTTTAATCGTTCTTCACTACCCTATATTGAGGCTAAAAGTTTTGTCATAAATTCTTACAAGGGAATTTCTTATCAGAATTTATGCTCTTATCGAATTCCTCTTTTTCTTCAATCGTTCTTCATTGCAGTGAGGGAGCTGTTTTTATCATAAATTTTGATAAGAAAATTTGTAACAATTCGAGAATGTCACACTTGGATTTACTTTATGTTGAGGGGATCCAAGATTTTATAGTCTAATCTTAATTCATCATTTTCTTTAATCGTTTTTCATTGTCATCGCAAAGTCAAAAATTTTAATAAGAGGATCCAAAAAAAATCTTTGAGATTTAAACATGTATCTTTCGTATGTCAAGTGAATTCAATTTTTTTTATTCTTATATATTTATATTATAAATTTACTTAATAAATATAAATATATATTTTTTTTTATATAAATTATTTTAAAAAAAATTATAAACATAAAATTCTGACTCTTGAAAAGCTAAAGAGTACTCATAACTATTGCTAAATATATGATGATGAAAACTGAAAAAACTGAACTTCCCCTTTGTAGTAACAGTAAGTAAATCACCCATCAGTTTTTTCCCTTTATTTTATTTGTCTTTCTCTGTCTCATCATAACTGTTTCTTGGTATTCTTGACAAAAAAATTGTCAAAGAAAGCCCTGGTAGTGGTTCGATTAATTCAAATTCATACTATAAAAGTAAGCGGTAGAGACAAAAATAGGATATAAAGTTTATGAGTTTGAGTTTTAGTTTTAGTCCTTTTGAGTTATTTGGGTTCCAAATTGATCATTTATGTACATATTAATTTATTTTCTAAAGATAAATATAAGATTCAAACTAAAATTATTAGGTTCTACCAAACTCGTTTTTTACATTCTAGCTCTCACTACAAAAGTTACAATGCTCTTTACATTAGAAATTAAATTTTTATTTTTAGGACTCGAACTTTAGACTACTGATTAAAGGTATTTGTAAATATACATGGTTTTATTTTGTCTAAAAACTTAGTGAAGGAAATTGGATCGGGTCACCCATGTGGGTCAACCTGGATCCATGTGAAGAGAAATATGAACAACTGTAACAGGTACGATTTTAGAGTGTGGTTTTATATGGTATACTTCGTGTTTATATACATGTGATTACATTTTCTGACTAGTGAAACAATATTTAATAATCCGGCAAACTAAGTGTTTGATTAGATTCTTTACTTAAGATAACTCCATCTCTAACTCTTTAATTTACATGTGATAATGTTTACTTATTGTAACATGTTTTGCTTATTAATTAATTATCTTATTGGTTTTTTTTTTTTTTTTGGATGTTTTTAGGGTTAGAAATTGCAAATAATTTTCCATCAAAAGTAAATTCAACAGCTGTGTTTCAACGTGTTAGAATGAGTTCAATTGAAGAAAATGAAGATCAAATAGCATATCAAGCTGCTGTTAATATTAATGGACATATATTCAAAGGAATATTATATGATCAAGGTGATAATCATGAGTACAATTATATGAATGGTGGTGATCATGACAGCTCATCGGGTGGTGATCCCGTGCCACGTCACCATAATCTTAAAATTACTGGCACCGCCATGTCAGCCGTGAATGACACGACTGTAGGGGGTGGCGGTGGTGCTTCCGCGGTGGCCGTGGAAGGATCATCACATTTTCTAGAAACTTCTTTATACTCTAGTGTTAACACTTTCGTGGCTGGTACGCAATTTTTTCCACCTTCAAGATCTTGAGATTAATTAATTAATAATATTTCGATTAAAAAGAAGAAGATATTTGACATTTGACAAATTTTGTTCTTGTAATGAGATCTAGTTAATTATGTTAATTAGCTAGCTAGCTTAAATTAGTTACTCTTAATTACTTAAGGGGTTGTTTGGTTGGTGTAATAGAGACATTTTTAATCTCCACGTAATTAAGGTTCATTATTGTTACTTCTTACTACTAATATTTATGTCTTGTTGCACTAATTTTCTCTATGTAATAGATGATATTTGCACTAGTTAAAAGGAGAATTTATGAATTAGTAATATGAATATAATAACAATTAAAATGAAATAGTTAACTATTTATTGTGATAATCATACATTTTATATGATTCACAGTTCAATGTACTATGAGAGTACATAGAGGTTTAACATTCAATTTTTACCGTCACTAATCAAATTTGAAGGAAAATTTAATTTTTACGTGTTTGACAAATAAAAGAAGAAAAAGAAGAATCAGACTAAGTAATATGTGAAGAGGAGTGTTAAGATATATAATATAATTAAGTAATTAAATTGTGCTCTTTTTAATAGCTTAAACTTTTAATATATTGCCTATGCATGTTTGAATTTTGTTAATAGGTTATGTGAATTTAAAACTTCGAAATTCTCCCCAACAACGGGTAGATAGAACTAATTTTGTACTTGATATATATATATATATATATATAAGTTGACTGTATATTATATATTATATATAAAAATAGATTGCTTGTTTCTTAGGACAATCAACAATGACAAACATCTTTTCCTCCGTATTTTCAGTATATGCATGTCTATCAAATTGCATGAATCATGTTCATGTTTGAAATTTTGTTACATAGAAATATAATAAAAATATTTGTTTGAAATTTTTGATAATTTTTCATTAAGATATACTCTCTCCTTATTTAGTATTTACTTTGTTTTATATGGTATCTCCATTATTAAAATATTTGTAATCTCTAAAAACAATTACTACTATATGTAAAATGTAAACAGAATAATAAAGCTTGTCTTCAGGGGCGGACCTAGGTTGCGTCTAGGGGTTCACCTGAACTCTCTCGGTCGAAAAATTACGTTATATATATAAGGCCAAATTATGATTTTATGTGTACGTATATTAAAATAAACCCCTTGAAAATAAGTGAGAAGCTTTAGCTCAATGGATAAAGGGTTCAACAGTGGCTTTTACGTCTTGGGTTTGAATCCCATGTGCAGTAATTTCTCTCCTCTTATTTTTTACCTTTTTTAATGCATGGAATTGGGCTCAACTTTTGGGCTTGGATCATCTTCTCTTTTTCATTATTTTTTTTCTCTTTTATGTCATTTTTTTTCTAAAAATATTTTTAGCTATTGGTGCATCAATGAGATACCTTGTACAAAAAGCATGTCGGGGTTACTACACTCACCGCGCACTTACAATTACCACATGAGCTTCTTCTTTAAATATCGAACCCCCTGAGCTTAATTCCTGGATCCGCCACTGCTTGTCTTGAACTTTACAATGACATACTCTTTCCTCCGTTCACTTTTACTTGTCACCTTTGGACTTGGTACACCTATAAGAAAACAATAATTGGACTTGGTGGAGCGGATGCAAGGTGAATTGAGGCTTAACCCACAAAATTTTCAATCTCTCTCATCCTTTCCCACATAATATTTTGAAGCATTTTTATTTAATTCACTTTCATGATAGCCAAACAAAATGAAATTTATAAAAGTTACAAGAAAAAAATGAAGTTAGTCTAGAAATTACTATATCCGTCTCTATTTACTTTATCCAATATTCCAAACGTTTTCCGTTAGTCTCATAAGGTATATATTTTAATGTTTTATTAAGAAATTATTATTTAGACTGGTTTAAGAGTCGCCACTTAATTTTTAAAGGAAAATTAAGAAAACTTATTTTTTCAAAGGATTAAAACAGGAAATCGATTGAAAATATTTAAAAAGGGGTTCGAGGTTCCTATTAATATTCTAGGAAGGTTTTTAAGGCACCTAGAATATCCACTAAAGTAGTTAAACTTAACTTAAATTGAACAATTTTTTAGTTAAGACCATTTTAGGGAAAAAGGAAAAATATTGAAATATTATCTAAGTGAAGTATTTTTTTTTGTGAAAATTATTATTTTAAGTTCGTTTAAAGATGACTGATTTAGTTGAATCATAAAAAAACAAGATATACGTCGTTTGGGGGTTTGAATTTTTCAACCTGAAGATTAACGGTAAACAGTGACAAGCAAATAAACATAGTAAGACAAAAGGGGAGAGAGATTTGGGCCCAAATCTGATTTTCCTATCCGCCTGGGCCAGTATTTGAGCCCATTTTCGTTTTGGGCCTTTGGCCCATTTAAGTTGCGTACACCTGTCCTGAACTAACTTAAAGAAATATTTTTCTTTGGGCCTTAGGCCCAATTTTTCACCTGCCCTAGGTTTCTAGCAAAATATAGAATAGCGACTAAATGGGCTTAGGCCCAATAGATAACAAAATACAATCTTTGGAATTAAAAGTGGGTCTTTGGCCCAATCTTTTCAATTCTCTAATTTGCTTCAATATTTTTTCGACTCCGGGACCTGTACGTCGACTTTCAATTGCCGGTTGACTCGATAAAGGAATTTGAGCCTTTATGACCCTCTCGAAATGTGAGGGAAAGGAGTGAGTTCGTAGTGAACTCGGACAAATTTCACATGTGAAAACAAAATAGAAGAGAGGAGTTAGAGACTCAAAATAACGAGAATAATAACACATCTAAGACAATTTATCACAAGGACTCTTAGAATAATATAACAAAATGAACTTGATCAAACTAAATGCCGAGGATCTAAATAAAATGGAACAAATTTATGAGAGAAACTGATGGCCTCAAATCATGCTAACAAACTAAATTTTGTACTTAAGCTACTGTTCCAGATAGGTTCAAATGATAATTAAAAGAAAATAAAAAATAAATAAATAAACAGATAAAACAAAAAAAATAAAATCATAATGGTATAAGCAAACTGGTTACTTAAAATTCTATATAATGAATATTGTAGCCAATTTGCAATGTAAACCAAAGTATTCCAACATTTTCCGGATTTCAAGAAAAACCAATAAACAATGGAATATTATATAATCTAAAACAGCGAGATGCAAAATAAAACTAAGACATGCTGGAAGATTACGATGCACATGACGCGATATAACAAAATGAGTGAATTTCGAAATTATGAGAGACAACCCAACAAAAATGCAAATACGAAAATAACATACTCATCCACTGTTCAACTAGGATAAAAATTACACAAAAAAACTAGACATGGATTTTTCAACTAAAGTTAGCTTATCACTACCAATAGAAGCAAACAAGTGATTAAATAGATAGAATGAAGCAAGTCAACTCAAAACCAAATCACTAATCTATATTAAACTCAAGCTAACCCAAAACCTCCAATCAATGGTATTGGAAGCACATATACTAATGTATCTATTCAACAATAAAAGAAAATCAGCATAATAAGTATACAAGAAGAAACTACCTTGAGCCTTAATAACCACAGTAACTAACTAAAATCAAGGCAAAAATAAAAAATGAACAATCACGAATCTTTGTAACCCACTACATGCGAATAATTTCATTATGCAAACACTTCGTCAACTGGCCATAATACAAGAGAAATAAGAGCATGAATGTGCCAGACTTCAAAAATATAAAAAAATCTGGACATATCTAAAGCCGAATAAAAAATAGGACAATGTGAGGAAATAAAAAGGGAACCGGGTTTACCTTTCTTGGAGCAGCGAAGTGGGAACATGACAAGCAAAACAACGACCTTCACCACACAAATTTCGACTCGAACAACGATCAAGAAATCTGGGCAGAATCGAACTCAAACACTAACACTAGTTATATCCTGTGGTTTCTTGGAGTATATTTAGTATGTATTTTAACTATTTTTGCTTAAGTTGTTCTCTATATTTTGGCTCAAAAATCTAACTCCAAAATCCCTATAGTTTTCTCAACTTTTCGACTTCGTCCCCCCCTCTAACACTGAATCAGAAGTAACCTAAATAGAAGAGAGATAGGGTTCGAAAATGGGGGGAAAAGGGATGAAAAAATTCGGATAGAAAGGGGACCATTTCGAATTCAAATTTCAAAAAATCTTTCACAATTAAGGAGAGACACCTTTTTTGCAATTTTCGCCCCATTCTGAAAGAGGAAAGGGGAGAAAACGTGTGCCTTTGTCCTGCTGTCTGTTGGTACAAACTGAGAGGGGCATTGGCTGCTTGCTGGACTCGGGTCTGGGTTGGTCGCTGTTGGACCGGGTCTAAGCTGGTCGCTGTTGGACCGCTTGACGATTTATGGGTTCCGATTTGCAGCGCTGGTCCGAGAATTTGCTAGGTAGAGGTCTGTGGAGAAGAAGACGTCGGTACAGGGGTGGGGTCAGGTACATGGGTTTGTTGTTTGTTTGGAATTGTATGTATTGTTGTATGCCTGGGTCGGCTGGGAATTAATTGGGCTGGGAATATTAGTGGGCTGTTGGAATTTTATATTGGTGTATGTATTGTGTTTTGGGTTTGTTTAGTGGAATTAAAATAATGGATTTGGACTAAGAATGTGAGGAAATTAATGGAACCGGTGGGCTGGAAGAGTTGAGAATGGGTCCATTGAGTTGTGAATATAGCCAAATTGAAATTACTTAGCAAACTCGACTAACAAATAAGTAAAGCCGAATTAATATAATTAACCAACCAGCTTCCTAATCTTAACGAAATAAAATAGTTAACTCAAACATAAACTAAATAATTTAAAATATAAACTATTATATAACTCAACCAATTAATCAAATATTTAATTAAAAACAAAATCTTTTTGAGATGATTTTCAAATAATTATAAAAATATACTAATTATATATATAATTATCTAAAACATATATATTATCTAAAAATTATAAAAAGTGACAAAACCATTTAAAATAACTTGCAAACTATATTATTATTAT